CCTTTGACCTAAAGGTCTAACCCACAAGGCAGTGGAGCATCGTAAGGAGATGCAGTCCCATGGTAGCCGGTGACCAACGATTGGTTCATACGCCATTCGTTCCCGCAGGATACTGGAGCCCATGTGCACCATTGATTTGGAATCCGGTTAAAGCGCCGGACATTCGCTTTTCGTCCTCTCATTTTCGTAGACAACACCCCCGCCACGAGAAGGCAATGAGTAGGACTTCCCTGGCAGAGGCTGTATACGCGTGGCCGTGTGAGAGTATTTCGAGAGGGAGAGCGGACTCTCCCCACTCTCGGCCGTACCAGGGCATTCAGGGGGCCTAGCATAGAGATACAGTGGTCGATTCAAATCCCGTAGTGGTAGAGGTAATAAGAGTATAAGCAGTAATCGGGAAGATTAGTGTTTGGAGATGTTATTTAAAGAGTATAATACAGTGAAGTGAATCTGGAAAGAGAAAAGAGACAAGGAGGAATAAGGAGATCAAAATTTGGGAGAACACAAAGAGTGTATGGACCCGTGTCGTTGCAAACGATTTTGAGCCATGTCATCCGAGCCACTGGCAGCAAGAAGTCTGGTGTGAGTGAAACAATCTGCGAGGATGACAGGATGCCAATCACTAACATCCATCGACGTCTTGGACGATGGGCAGAATTTTTCGAAGGGCAGTCCAACTGGCCTGCTGCCTCGGCAACATCGGTCAGACTGTCCTGCCCTCCATGGCCGGTGACGACTGATCCACCAAATGAGGAGGAAGTCCGCAAGGAACTCCAACTCTTGAAGCGTTACAAATCACCTGGCCCAGATGACTCACCTCCGGCTCTTTTTAAAGATGGCTAATTCTTATCCAATCAGCACTAGTCGATAGTTAGAGAATACTCTAGAATCTTCTCATGTAAAAAAGACTATAAATATACTGACGTTTTCTCTATTGTGCTTCTGGCTTGCATCTTACTTCCATCTAACCTTGTTATTTGGAATATAATCTCTTTCCTGTTCACCCGTGTTCTGATTTGGGGTCTTGTCGAGTGATTTAGTGTCCAAGAATACTAAGCAATAGGAATAGCTGGGTCATAACCGTAAGAAAGAGATTATAACAACACCTACCAACATAACTCAGACCACTTGTCAGTGACTTCATGGACTTGTGCCATGTTCTGGTCTGGCCTCCCCTAGCTTTCTTCCAACCTACTCCTACACCATAAAACATCACTCGTTGGGGCAGTCGGTTATTGGGCACACGTACCCCATGTCAAGTGTAAGTGAGATTATTTCGGAAAAAGATGATACTCTCATCTGCTCCCAGTCCAGACGTTTAGAACGATGGGCGGAACATTTTAGAGAACAGTTCAGCTGGCCTTCAGCTACTCTACAACTACCCTCCATTCCCAGACAAAGTGAATGGAACATTGAAGTAGGTCCCCCAACTCAAGCTGAAGTTGAGAAGGCTATAGTTAATCTGAAACGAGGAAGGGCAGCTGGTCCAGATGGATTGGCTCCAGAGGTCTTTAAGGATGGTGGTCCAATTTTAGCGATTAGGTTGACTAATATTTTAGCTAAGATCTGGGAATTAGACGTTATCCCATCTGACTGGTCGCAATCACTTATCGTCCCAATATATAAGAAAGGGTCAAAATCATCCTGTGACAACCACAGAGGGATTAGTTTAACAAACATAGTATCTAAAATACTGGCCTCGATAATTATCAAACGCCTAACTAAGACTCGTGAACTACAAACACGAGAGAACCAAGCTGGCTTTCGACCTGGTCGTGGCTGCATCGACCACATATTCACCATTCGTCAGGTTCTAGAACACAGGCATACCTATCGGCGTCCGACGATGGTGGTCTTTCTTGACTTAAAAGCAGCATTTGACTCTGTAGACCGCGAGACTCTGTGGCAGTGTCTGTCATTGAAAGGCGTACCTCAGAAGTACATAAACCTTGTGAAGGCTCTTTACTCGAACACTACTAGTCGAGTCAGGGCTTATGGCGAACTGTCATCTACTTTTGCAACCTCAAGTGGTGTCCGTCAAGGCTGCCCACTTTCTCCATTTTTGTTTAACTTCATCATAGACCTATTGATGGAAATAACACTCTCGTCGACTGAATTCTCGGGTATTGATCTCCTTCCAGGAGGTCCACTTATCGACTTAGAATATGCAGATGACATAGTCCTGTTTGGTGAAGACGCTGACAAAATGCAGAGTCTTCTGGTAGCACTAAGCAACAATGCCAGAATGTTTGGGATGGGCTTCAGGACTGGTCTGCGTCAACACCTGAACTAAGGATAGGGAGTGAAGTAGTCGAATGCGTTGACAACTTCACTTATCTTGGAAGTCTGATCAGCCCTAATGGGTTGGTGTCTGACGAAATCTCAGCACGGATTCGTAAAGCTCGTTTGGCTTTTGCCAACTTACGTCACCTTTGGCGGAGGCGAGATATCCGTCTATCAATAAAAGGACGAGTATACTGCGCGGCTGTTCGTTCTGTTTTAATTTACGGCAGCGAAACATGGCCCTTAAGAGTAGAAGACACCCGTAAGCTACTAGTATTTGACCACAGATGCCTTAGAAATATTGCTGGCATCTGCTGGGATCACCGGGTAAGTAATAGTGAGGTTAGACGCAGGGTATTAGGAAATGATGGTAAATCAGTTGATGAGGTTATGAATCTTCATCGACTGAGATGGTTGGGCCACGTATTACGTATGCCTGAACACCGATTACCGCGACGTGCAATGCTAACCGGTGTAGGGGATGGTTGGAAGAAAGTTAGGGGCGGCCAAACCAAAACGTGGCATCAGTGCCTGAAGTCACTAACTTGTAGTCTGAGCCATGTTGGTAGATGCAGACTACTTGGTTGGGGTCCGCGTGACTTTCGTAACCAATGGTTGGAGACCCTTGGTGACATGGCTCAGAATCGATCACAATGGCGTAGGTGTATACACTCCCTGTCTTCCCTTAAACTAAGAGATTAAAATCACTTCATATCTTTCTTTCTACTAACTAATCCTTTCTTCCTATACTATATCCTTATCGCAATCTTTCTCCTATATATTACCACCTTTGACCTAACCACTGCTATGAATCCGGTGTTCATCTTGCTGTGCTAATGAGGTATGGCAACCTGGGCCGATGCATACATGTGCCTGGTCCTACGTTGTAGCTGACTGACTGACTGACCCCATGTCCCAGCCATCTCAACTGATGAAGTTTCACTAGGTCATCAATTGATTTGCCATCCTTACCTAGTACATGTTTCCTAACAACTGCATTACTTACTCGATGGTCCCAGGATATACGAGCAATGTTTCGAAGACACCTATGATCAAATACTAGTAACCTACGAATATCCTCTACTCTCACCGGCCATGTTTCACTGCCATAAAGTAGGACGGAACGAACTGCTGCGCAGTAAACACGTCCTTTGGTTGATAGACGGATATCTCGCCTACGCCATAAATGACGCAAGTTGGTAAAAGCTAGTCGAGCCTTCCAAGATAAGTGAAGCGATCGACACGCTCAATTACTTCACTCCCTATCATTAGTTCGGGTGTCGATGCAACCCAATCCTGAAGCAACATTTTGCATTTCGAGGGGGAGAATCGCATCCCGAACATCCTTGCATTGTTGCTTAGAGTGGTCAGAAGACTCTGCAATTTGTCAGCGTCTTCATCAAATAAAATTATGTCATCAGCATATTCTAAGTCAACAAGTGAACCTCCTGGTAGAAGTTCAACCCCTGGAAATCTAGACGAGGAAAGTGTTATCTCTAAAAGTACATCGACGACAAAGTTGAACAAGAATGGAGAGAGTGGACAGCCCTGACGAACACCACTTGAGGTAATCAATTCTGATGACAGTTCACCATAAGCTCTCACTCTACCAGTTGTGTTCGAGTAGAGAGCCTGTATAAGGTTAATGTACTTCTTTGGTACTCCTTTCAGTGACAAACACTGCCATAGAACCCTACGATCAACAGAGTCGAATGCCGCCTTAAGTCCGAGAAATACTACTATTGTGGGATATCTGAATGTGTGTCTATGTTCTAGGACTTGACGCAGTATGAATATCTGGCCTATACGGCCACGTTCTGGTCGTAAACCAACCTGATTTTCTCTAGTCTGCTATTCAGAAGCTTAATTTTGTTGTCAAATTATTATTGAGACTAATATTTTAGACACTATATTAGTCAAACTGATTCCTCTGTGATTGTCACAAGAGGACTTTTGTCCTTTCTTATAGACTGGCACAATCAGTGATTGAGACCAGTCATATGGGATTACGTCCAGTTCCCAAATTCTACCTAAGACCTCAGTTAATCTCACTGTTAATACTGAACCACCATGCTTAAAAACCTCAGGAGTAAACCTGTCAGGGCCTGCTGCTCTCCCTCGCTTCAGATTTCCTATGGTTTCTTCAACTTCGTAAAGAGACGGAGGACCTACATTAACTTGCCATTCAGGTTGACTGGAGATTGTGGGAAACCGAAGTTTGGCTGAAGGCCAGTTGAACTGATTCCTAAAGTGTTCTGCCCACCGATCCAATCTCCTAGATTGAGAATGTACAATATGTTCATCTTGGCCCAAGCTTTTATCTGTCTTTCTTAAGTTTTTACATAAGTTATTGTATGACACTTAAATGTCCTAATTTAATATGAGATATTCTCACTTAAATTATATTTCGAATGTCCCCATTATTTCTTTTTCGGTTGCTTGGGTTATCAGTTTAGTGAAATAAACAGAACAGTAGTATGGATTAGTTAAGCAGCTGTGATTTCCGGCTTAAATTGTAGTGTATGCTAAAGTCAGTTCGGTATTTTCTTATCTAACGTAACTAGACAGTCATGCAGTGAAGATGGGTTATTTAGAGTTCCTGTATATTTTTAAAATTTTATGGGCAAAGAACTATGCACACTTATTCACGCGCATCAAATAAAAATAAAATGAGGGACTTATTCGAGTATAGATAACAAAATCCGAATAACGCTTACCTAGATAAAGCTAAATAATATAAAAGCAGATTTTGTCTTCTCGGACCGTTTATTGTCGGCGCGTAAAATCTAGGTATTCAAACCTCAATGAAGAAAATTATTGAAATAAATGTTTCGTTGATTCTGTGTTCAGATAAATGATGTGATTCACAGATTTGATAGAGGGTTAATCCTTATTTTAGAAAATTTAGGAACTTGCTATGTTTGAGTTTTTTTAAGAAATGAAGGTGAAGTGGGCCAACATGCCATAAGTAATATTATTTGGACAAAGCCTTTACCTTTAACACCTTTATAATCGATGTATGCCAACGCAGTCAAATCGGAAGTCAGAACTGCGGTGGTTCAAAGTTGCATTTGAAAGTCTATCGATGTCTCGTGAAACATTCGATCCAAGCTGGCTAACGGTTGTACGAGGTGTCTAGAATGGCGTACCTCCCCCCAGTTATCTGGTGTGAATGCCTGATCAAGCGCCTTCGGCTAAGTGTATCAAGTAGAGCTAGTGGGGTTTACATCAATGCCAACGACCCATAGAACTATTTATTCACCGCCACAGCTTACTCCGTCTCTAGTTGAGCAGTGATGACCCTAAGATGTGGCCAGTTAGAAGTATAAACCCAGTGAGTTTGTCGTTTGTAAACACTCCTCTGATAGCTTGCTATGTTCAGCAACGCCTGCTCGTCATTCCCTGATCTAAGGGGCCATATGGTAACAATAGCATTGAAAAAAGTGCAATGAAAATTTCTGTACCTCGTATTCTTTATTAGTTTCTTATGTTTTCGAGTCCTCCTGAAAAAGACAAGGAAAGTGAACGTAGGCGCATACCGAAATGCATTTGTGCGTATATAAAGACACAAAATAGCAGAAAAAAGGAAAATAAACTTGTATACATAAATTTTGATAACAAGCAATGACATAGAAACAAATTTCTCACAATGGTTGTTTTGATTTTTAGTAGAAAAATATGCTCACATATAGTGCATATTACATAAAACATATGTTGTCTTTGTTTTTCTGGAGCAAAATTACAAAAAAACGGGATGGAGTAAGGTTTTATTCAGTTTTCTACCTCAGCAGTCGTTGAGGCGTTCGGAAACCTTAACTTTCTTCTGGAGTGTGTTGTTTTATGCCCGAAATCAGTAGTTCTGTAGGTCTTCCACATTGATGTCGACCTCACCAGTTCTACTTGATACGCTTAGCTGAAGGCGCTTGATCAGGCATTCACACCAGAAAACTGGGGGAGGTACGCCATGCTAGACACCCGTACAACCGTTAGCCAGCTTGGATCGAATGTTTCACGGGACATCGATAGACTTTCAAATGCAACTTTGAACCACCGCAGTTCTGACTTCCGATTTGACTGCGTTGGCATACATCGATTATAAATGTGTTACCGGCGAGGGCATTGTCAATCTCTCAACACCTGTGGGATGTTCAAGTAACTTGGATAAATATGTCACCGATTTTCTCCCTTAGCGTAACGATTTTAGCAGCTTCTGGTCGTCCTTCCTAACTATAACAGACCACATAGTACAATAAAGTAATAAAGAAACAAGGTACAATGAAAATTTCGGTTCCTCTTAAACTTCATCGTTCTTTTTATCGTCTTTTCCAGCCGTCTTGGAAAGAAAAATAGGATAGGTAAGTGTATGTCTGAATACACTCGTACGCGCGTAAAGATACAAAGTGGGGGAAAAAGGAAAATAAACTCACACACATGCGATTGCGTGATAGCGATTTTAAAAGATTTTTTTTGGTTTCTCTAAGAAAAAAGTTAAATATACACATACTAGCAAAAAGTTGTAATTTTGGAGTAAATATATAAGTATAAGCATTTTCAGTTTTTTTGTCATATGTAATACAAAGGAAAATCGGGATGAGGTAAACTCTTAACTGGTGTCTTACGTGCAATATTCGTTTACATGTCCTGGAAATCTCACTTTTTCCTGAACGTGTAATTCTGAGTCTATTTTCAGATACTGCCAAAGTATTATCGTGCATGTTGTCAGATGAGGTGTCATGAATGTAGGAGTCGTGACGTTCGATTCTACCGAAGGAAAATTGACGTGATAGAGTTTCCTTTGACGCAGTCGATGCTGATGCAATTATTAGTTCCATTCTTGTTGACTATATAATACTTAGGTCCGCGTTGAAAAACTTTGAATTGTCCTTTGTATGTTGCTTCGAGTGGTCGTCGATGTGAGTCTCGACGAACAAAGACGTGTGTACTATATCGAAAGTCAGGTTGAACGAAAACATCAGTTGACTGTAGTCGAGTGGAAAGAGGTTTAACTGAACGTACTGCGTTTGTAAGCCTGCTCGTGTAGGAGGTTAGACCAATATTTATTGAATGTGAATGATCCGTGAATTCACCCGGCAGGCAAAGTGTCGTTCCATAAAGGAGCTAAGCTGCAGTGTATCCAACGTCAGCTTTCAGTGCATTGTGAATACCGAGTGAAAGAGAGTATGTCCACTGTGAAACGTTTGCAGTTGATAGGGAAGCTTTTAGTTGTCAGTGAAAGAGTTCTACCAACTTGTTTGCTTGTAGGTTGTCGTTTAGAATCGTGTGATTCCTAATAGTGTAGTCAGAAAACGGAAAAGTCCAGATTCAAACTGGCGTCCACGGTCTATAGTAATAGCTCAAGGGCAACCGAATTTTGTTACCCACCGTTTGACGAAGGCCCGGGCTACTGTTTCGGAAGTAATGTCCATGATGGGTACTGCTTCTGACCATTATGTGAATTGGTCTACATACGTTAAGAGTATCCACTTGAATCTGGTAAGGGCCCTACCAAATCAAGATGAACGTGGTCGGAACGAGCATCGGGATTTCTGAATGAGCCTAAAATACATTTGTTGCGTCTAATCACCTTAGATTTCTGGCAGCTTACATAGGAGCGTGCCCACTCCCTTATGTCTTTATTCATAACAGGCCAACTAAACCGTTCTGCTATAAGCATGATGGTTGCGTGTACGCCTGGATGAGACAGTTTGTGCAACGTATTGACGACGTTGGGTCGATAGTGTTTTGGCACGATTGGACGATCCCTACCTGTAGGTGTGTCGCATAGTAAGGTTTCCTTACCTGTCCTCACCTGTCTAGTACACAGTTTTATGGTTGTTGAAGATAATTTGTGCTGAAGATCTGTGTCTTCTTTTGAAGCTGGGCGAGTTTGAGAAGGTCAATTCCTGGGAAACTGCTCGAAGATACTATATGAGACAAGGCATCTGAGACTACATTGTTCGTCCCAGAAATATGTTAAATGTCTGAAGTAAACTGCGAAATAGTCCAGTTGTCGAGACGCACGAGATGAGTGCTTGTTTGAATAGAAAGAGCGAAACCTCGGTCCTCGACAGTGTTGAAAATACCGTGCATCACAATACATAGCTAGGATTTCCCTACCGAAAGTGCTGTACCTCTATTAAGTGTCTAGCAACCGTCTCGAGAAAATGCTAAAGGTTGACAGATGTGGTTAGCCCATCGTTGTGAAACTCCCTGATTACCGAGTTGGATGCGTCCATTACGATACTAATGAGTGTCCTAATGTGCAACCATAGTTGCTTTCGGGAGAATGCTTTTCACGAGGTATCGTCCAAACTGATGGATTTCGCATTTCCACGAAGTTGGCCGGTTAGTGGTTTCATAAGTGACGCGCAGTTCGGTATAAACAGTCGATAGAAACTTACAAGGCCGTTAAATGTGCGTAAGTGTTTAATAGTAGTCGGTTCTGCGTAATCTAAAACGGCAATCACTTTGCTTCTAAGAGGTCACATGCCTTGTGCATCAATAATATGTCCTAGGAAATCCAAGTAGTCGGTTTCGATTTGGCATTTCTGAATTTTACCAGTAATGCCATGTTTTTTGCAGTCGTTCGAAAACAAGGTTCAGATTCTGGAGATGGGATACTCTGTCCGGACTTGCTACCAAGCAGTCATCATCATACGCATATACGAAGTTGAGACCTCGAAAAACGTCATCTATGAACCTTTGGAATGTTTGGCAGCACTCCTTAGGCCGAATGTCGTGCACGAAAATTCGTAGAGTCCCAAAAGGGTGATGGTAGTACTTCTAGGAATGTCGTCAGTGACTTTAGTTATAAGCTTTAACCCATTCGATTTTCGAAGCAAAGTTGTATCTTTGAAGGTAGCTGTCAAATCGTGAATGTGAAGCAACGGGTAACGATGATAGAATTCGTTTCTAGCCAACCTCAGCTTTTTGGGAGCTAGTCGGCGCGCTTTCGAGAATACAGGTGCTCCTGTAGTCATGATGTGACGTGTAACATTGCTGGTTACACACCGGGATTTCGGTCGTGGTTCGTATATCCAGAATAGTTATCAAGTAATGGTTGATAGAAGACAGGAGATAATCTGTAACCGGAAAAACTGGTGTTTCCATCTACTAGCCCCCGTTTGCGCGTATCTATGAGTAGATTGTGGTGTTGTAGGAGGTCTATATCAATGATTAGCTTAGAAACATATGCAACAACAAAGATCCAGTGAACGGGTTCCCGTAAACCCACGTTAAGGTAAACGTACCTTTTACCGTATGTGGCGATAGGCTTTCCGTTTGCCACCTGTAGATTTAAAACCAATTCGTGAAGCCGGTCGTTAGAATTTGCTGGGAGAACGTTAACTTCTGCGCCAGTATAGACGAGGTAGCGAATTTTCGTTGTCACATTTGTGACGTATAATAGATGTCTGTTTTCGCCGGCTACGGTTGCTATTAACGCGCGCCGGCTGGGAAGTTTCCCATATTGTTTTTGTGTCGGTCGATTTTAAGTTCGGAAAATTGAAGGGTTTGCTGCAATTTCGAGAAGATATCCCGTACTGGTTATGATATCAGCACCAGTTTGGTTTATCAGTCTCTCGCGGTCTAGAGACAGATCGCTTGCGTGAAGTGCATCTTCGCGGAGTATGTGACCGTTCACGGTCGTTACGAAATCTATGATAACGTGCACATTATAAGGTTTCATGATTTCTAAGATGCGGTAGGTAAATGCAGCCAGTTCGCCT